CCTCTAGATTTTTCCCTTTAACGGAACATGTGTAAGAGGTAACATGTTCGTTGGGGTCGGTAGTTCCGTTATATTTAGGAATCTCGGGCATGCAAAACTTCTTTGGGATCGGTTTAGGAGCCGCTCTTGGGGGAAAAGGCTTTTGTACGAATTTTTTAGAATCTAAGCCCTTCAATATCGGTGGTACCCCCAGGATCTAATCAACCCTGGAGTTATATGTTTCTACCTTTTTGTCGTTTGCCTCAATCCTCCTTTCTCCTGACTCTATTCATTTGGTCAGTTCTTTGAACATCTTAGCAATTTCGGGATTAGTCCCCGACTCTTGTTCGTTCGACCTTCCTATGGTTGGTTCCGATCTGTGGGTGGCTTCTCGGGGTGGACTGAGCTCCGGCCTGCTTGGTATCTGGCTTTGGCTCTGCAACTGAGCTATTGCTGCTTGTTGAGTTTACAACATTTCGAAAATCATACGCAAGCTGATTTTGTTTTCCTTGACGTTATGGGTATCTCGAGCTGCAGATCGAGTACCACCATGAATGTTATTTCCAGGTTCAGAACCTAGGTTTGCCTCAATGGCCATATGCGAATTAACATCTAATGGCACTTTGACTCGAGCTCCAACGGCGTCGACAAGCGGCCTTTCGGCCTTGGGCGTCTAGTTGTTGTTTTCACCTTGAAGGCCAGCTTCGTTGTCGATAGGTAAGGCCATTTAATTGATAGCTCGACTGCTAATCCAAAATCAAAGACACTTCTGAAAACAAGCGTAAAATGGTATGTTTTGCAGATTCGTATCAAATAACCACTGTTATCCTTAGCCCCACGGTGGGCGCCAAACTATTTACCCGAAAAATGGATAGAGTTGAATTTGTACGTAGTTCTAAGGGTATGTGATATAACTTGACACAAATCATAATAGTAAATAGAAATATCGAATATTGACTGTAAAGGATGAAAATAAGCAAAGTTGAAAAGAGGATGATTTATGGATTAAGCAAAATGAGTCAATCTATGAAGCTAAAAAGGATAATTCTTCAATATGGGAGTGTATCATATCTGAGTTACAATGTCTGCTAAAATCTTGCCCTCTTTATAGAAATATAGCCATCCCTCTTATAGTGAAGGGATCCTACTTTAGATATAATTAGAAATACATAGTGAAAAACCCATGATAAATCAGTTTTTCCTTAATTCCCGCCGAGATTCTCTCTCTTAGTGCGGTTGTAACGGCTCTTGTCTATGAGCTCGATCCTGACCGAACTCGGTACCTGTCGGTTTCCGGGTTTAGAGCTCGATGTGGGTTCAAGCTCGATGTTGACTCGGGACCCAGTATTAGGCCGGTATTGGTTGGCCTTTGGCCCTTAAGCTCGATTCCACCGCTTCTCATCATAGTTCGATTTGGACCCGAGCTCAATAACAGTTTCGAGCTCGGTATTTGACATGTCCCTGAAATTCGAATCTCGTTTGTGCCTTCTTCGGATCCCATCTCGATATTATGAAGACTTTCTTCAGTCCATTATGTTCCCATCTCGATCAGTCGTATGAAGGACGAAATCAATTTCGACCGTATACAATATTATATTGAATTTCTCATCGATCGAATTGTGACAGAACAAGATATATTCAGAGTATAATTCTTATAATATAGCTAATAAATTAATTGTTTGAAACTTTGATTTGTTCTTTCTTAATTAAGAAATTCAACCTCTGATTACGTAAAAGTAGAAAAGAGATTAACTTTATTCTTTAAAAGAAAGGCTTTTCCCAATTGCACTACAGCGCGAGGATAATATTCTTGCCTTCTTTTTGGTGTTGAATAAAGAAAAAGTAGTGCTAAGAAGTGGAAAACTATTATTATGGCAGGTGTAAGATAAAAAATAATTCTAAAAAACCTTGCTGCAAAGGTCATAACATGAAGATGTGAGACTTGTATCCGGTTCCACCAAGGTTGATAAAATTGTGAATATTGATTCGAGGTTGAGATTAAATATTCATTTGCCCTCGTTAACAATATTCCCTTCGGGTCTACCCGATGACATCCGCAGTTGTTGTCCTCGGTCTTGGTCTCCACTTGATTTGTCTTCCGGCTGTCCCTAGTTCCATGTGTCACTATCATTCGAGTATTTAATGTGAACCGATTTTACCCTATACAGATAGTCCCCCTGCTTTCCGGTGGCATATCTTTGTGTCACCCTTCGTGAGGGTTTCTCCAAACTTGTTCAGCAGGACCGACTCAATCTCATGCGGATCCAAGCCATTTCCTTTCACGCCGTTTGTGTAGGTGATGATGTGCTCCTGAGGGTCCGAAGTACCATCATATTTTGGTACATCCGGCATTTTGAATCGCTACGAAATTAGCTTAGGTGTCGCGCTCGGTTTGAACGGCAACTGGGTGTATTTCTTTGAGTATGGTCCCTTCAATACTAGCGATGCGCCCGGAATTTGGTCCATTCGGGTATTTATTTCCCTCATAAACCGCATGAGCTCGGGTTTGAAGGGATCATTACTGTTGTTATTACACAGATCCGTTGCCGCCCCCTTCCTCC